GTTAGTAGTATATATATATATATATATATATATATATATATATATATATATAAGCTGACATCAACTGCATAAATAATTTACTTAACAGAGCTTCTTTGCTGAGGCTTCGTGATGCTGTGAAATCATAGTCATCCTCAAAGGTACTGAGCAGTGCGTAATCACGTTTCTCCATAATAAAACTACTTGGTACACATCCCTAAATTACTTTAAATTTTACAAATGCATGAACAAAGACAAATATTATGCTTCCAATATTACTGCTGTAGAATGAAAAAACTCACCCTAAAATATAAATTTCGACCACCCGTTAAACGACTAGTACCAATCTGCGATACCTTTTCTCCTCGATAATTTTCACGAACGAGTACCATCCGATAATTTTCAAATACCGAGTTATACTTGGATAGGGCAGTTGTCCTGAAAATCTGACATATTCTACATGATTTCCGTTGGTGATAATGGATGTTTAATTTTTTGATTAACCTGCATATTATTTTGACTTTTTTATCGAAGAGTAAATCCTTCTAAAGCTAGTACATTACTGAAGCAATACTTACTGCAACAGATTTATTAATACTGTGCTACTAAGTTATGGCGCTTCATTTTTTATTTGTTGACTACAGTTACCAAATTAGCAAAAATAAAAAAGGTACCTTTTTTCCAAAACATCTTTCAAACGCCTACCGCGCCATATATCCATGCGCATTTTCAACTGTTGTATCCAGAGAGCAAAGTTAAACTGCTCTTCCTTGATATTTACTGCACCGAACTACAAACATCACCCATAAATCGAAAAAATTTGTTGATACCCAATTTTTCAGAAAATTAGTTCACAAAGCAAAATACCATCGTTTTCATATTGAATTCCATATTATCATCGAGGCCAAATATCAGCTTCAGAGCAAAGAGTATTATTGCAACTGCCTTGACATCGATGGATGGCAATACGGAATACCTACATTATAATTGAAAAGTAATAAATTATGAAAATAACTTTTTGAGGTTAGAAAACAGAAGTTGATCTAAAAATGAAATTAAAAGTGTAAACTCACGAAAATTGCCATCAAAACAAACTGCTCAAACTTTGTGAGCAAGTACTCCAAACTTTATACTTTGGGAAAAAAGTGTTTTTTAATTGTGAATTCCTACCGTAGATTAGATAAACGTTCCGACTAATATTACCAGCTTCTTCAGTTCATTTTAAGGTAAAAGTGAGGGGAATAAGTATTTTGAAGCTCGAAATGAAATGCATTAAGCAGTGAGTGGCTTAACATAACAAAGAGAATTTAAATTTCAGTGAATATTTTCATTGTGCTTACTGCCGACCGCAACCTTCTTCTAACTGATAAGTGCTCTGTTCAAGCGCAAAAGTGATATTATCACAGAAAGCATTGTTTGTTCTTTGCAGTAACGCTTCTGAATCAACAGTGCTAAATCGATGAATAAACTGCGAATCGAAAACAATATTTGGGGAGGAATAAACGAAAATGGTATGTAGATGTTGCATGAAATCAATCGGCAAATTAAGATTGTAACTAAGGCGAGCCAAGACCTGCAACAGAAACGATGATTTTCCCAGAGTAGCTTGCTTTTGAATATGAGAAATTTTCATGCGTTTTTCACTACGATCACTAACTAATGAAAATCTCACATGCAGAAATCGACAGAAACCCACAAGCCGATAAAAATTAAAGGTATCATGATAACCACAGATTTCTGAAATACAGCTGGAGATAGGGTCACAAACAGATAAGGTTTCTAAACAAGATATCTCGAAAAAATGTGCAAACTTGCCCGGTCAAAAGAGCAAGAAATTGGATGCACCGGGATATCAGTTATTTGGGCAACTACCATAATCGTTCGCATATATTCATACAGTGGCATCGTCTGGAATTGTTAAATGAAATAAAAAGTATGTGCTTCCTGAAAAAACAGAATATCTTTCATTTCCCATCATCGGACAACATCCTCATGAATTTCCTTATTGACCGCACAAAGGATGAGGATGACTTTCAGTAGAACTGAAATTAACTCTTTTTATCCAGTAATCGAGTACAACTCTCTCATCGTCTTTACTTAATAGAAACTTTCTGGATTCCATCTGTGTAAATGCATATCTCGATTTGATAGTCGTAGATAAAGTATGTGAACAAGACACTTTCAAAATGTTCCAAGTATTCTCAATACCGGAACACTTTAAATTAACTCTTCTCCTCGAGTACAATTTTGAATTAACTCTGCATCTCTCGATTTAATCCGATCTGATCTGACTCGAATTTTTAGTTGCAAATCGGACAGAAAATAGTTGGTCGATGTGTGGATATCAATTAAAGTTCTTTCATAACGTTAAAAAGTGATTTCTATATTAGTTGATGAAAAAATAATTTGGAATAATAAAAACATATATAAAAATATATCAGTTTGTTCTCTGAGATAGAAATAGCAAAACGAGCATACCGGTGATCTCGGAGAAAAAGAAAGCCCTTTCGCATTGAAGATATCGTTTCCTTTCCCGCCAACAAGTAAAGCTGCGGACTGAAATGACGATATTGGAAATCGACCTTCACGGAACCACCTAAAAGATAACTTCAGTTCCTTTCAAGGTAAGAAATAATAGAAAATAATTTCATCCAATCATGAATTTTTAATACAAAAGGTATTATAAATACCGTGTAACATCAGATAATAACACCCAGTTTGCGCCAGAGAGCAAACATCCCAAATAAAGGATCACCATGATAATTTCAGTGCTCATTGGAATACGCAAAAGCTGAAAAACAAAATGGTAAGAAGGGATTATGAAACCTGATTGTAACGTTAACAGTTAGAAATGAAATGACTAGATGCTATTATTCATTACAGCCCAAAAGTTTTAAATGAGAAACATAACAAATCGTACAAATCTCAAGGTAATGCTATCTGCTGACCGAAAAAACGCATCTCACCTCCAGTACGGCCATTTTACTCTAAGTATTTTCCTCCCTAATCCTACGGTTGATAATTTTGCTTTGAATATTCTGGAACGCATTCCAGTGTGCTAACTAATAGATTTCAGCCATTATTTTTATAGTATTTTTTGCTTTGATTCGTGAATTGAAATTCGCATCAAATACAAATTGACAGATGCTAATAACATGTTTTTTCATGCGTTTGGAAAAACTAATAATTTTTCGAAAACAGAGGAATCACAGGAAAACTTACTGCGGAAAACGCATCCTTTGAAATTTTCGTTCGTTTTTCTATTACAGCTTCTATGTCATCCTTAAAAACATTTGAGAAAATAAAATCGAAATTAATAATAATTCTACTTGCCAGTCGTGTTTCTTTTTTTAGAAGTTAGTCTTACCTGAAAGAACATTTTGAGGTAATGACCTCAAAGAAACTACAGAACTAGATTTTTAGTTGGTGAGCAAGCATTGATCTGATTTGAATTTGGATATTAAGTCTTAATCAGACACTGAACATTACAAAGATAATAATACCCAAGAACAGACCATATCGATATCGGTAACACGAACATCCAGGTTTACTTTGATATCTGGGCTTGATAATAATGACATAACATTATCGCCACGCCTCAACTGTGTTTCTTTCTGTGCTTTAACTTTCAGCTCTTTTGCTCTCTTTTGTGCTTCACTGCAATGAATTAATTTAACCAAGATTCCAGAGAGATTTCCTTTCATCTATTTTAATATGAAGACTGTCGAATTAAAAATTACAGTTTTTGCAAGTAAGTAAACAATGCGGTGTTGCAGACATGTATTTTTCACATATTTTGTCATAATCCAGTCGTAAAACAATTACTGACAGTGGTACAAAAATATGTCTAATTAGTTTGTCATACTCCAAATCCGATAGTACCGAACGTTGCTTAAAGACTTGATAAGGTCAAGAACAGTTATATATATTTAATAGTTTAAAGTACTACTTCGAACTTTCGAAGTGCCGCACATAATTAAACTGTTCTATTTATTTACTAACTTCGTGATGTGACTAAAATTACGTTAATGCTTACTATTTTTCGTTTTTTACTAATGGACAATATGGGTTTTCTTCATCCAGCTCTTCCTCACAGAACGCTATTCGGAAGTGTTGAAGGTAATGTTGCAAGATACTGAGTACATGCCACTAAAATATGAAGAACCGTAAAGCGACAAAATTAATGAAATAAAAATATAGTTATTCAATTTTCACAGAATTTCTAAAAGTAGGCATAAATATTCTTTACTAATTGAACAATAAAAACGGTTCAATCCAAAGCACAAAAAGTAATCCATATAATACTAGATGTTAAACTACTCGTAGTTCTTTCTTTACCTTTCTTTTATAACAAAGTTACCTAAATGTAAATTTAATGTAAATTACAAACTCCCTCCTAGCCCATTTAAAATTCCAAACATCAGATAACAAACCTTGACATCTTCTGGTATACTGAAATCACGAATTAACATGGCTGAGAAGTGTGAAAGTAACTTTGTAAATGTTGCCAGCCGTAAACCAGCATGTCCAAGATATGCTGGGAAATCTTGTTTTAATGCTGGTAAATGATAGTCTTCATCAACTGTCACTTGTTCCTAAACTGACTAGAAAATTCCTTAGTATTTTTAAACCATTTCATACAACTAATAATTTCTCGAAACTGCTTGCAGAACTTTTGATTTATTTTACATCAATACACTAAGACGTCATGAGAAAGTCTGTACGCCACCGCAAAAGAAAAATGATCGACTAATAAAATGAAGACAGAATACCTCAGAAGCTTTTTTTCTTGTTCACCTTTGTCTGTCTTGGTCTTCTTTCGACGAATCTTTGTTGATGATGCTGACATCAGAATTGCGCCTTCATCATCATGATCAAATTCACGAAGAACCTGCATAAATATAATTATGCAGTTTTTTATGGACAATATTATAATTGCACCAGTTGAAGAATGATCAAAATACATTTAAGACCATAAATTTCTCACGAAAAGACCTATACAAACAAATCGAATCTGACAAGCTAACATATAAAAAATCTGAATATTAATCCCCTCTCATTTCCTTCGGCACTTATCATACAAGCACATATGAACTTCCTTTGAATTAGATGCTGTTCTCAATATTTCCACTACTACTCTTTTACCCTTCATGACCATAATAAATAATAAGCTTAAGACTTTCTTAACCTGTGATTGTGTGTTACATACTGCACAATAGAAAAAACCATCCACAGGAGCGAAATCTGCTGAACCACAATTAGTACAATATCCTGGCATTTGGATGTACTTCTAGTTCACGTCGTTAGCGCTCCTTTCCTCACATATGGATCTTAACCGACCGAGCTTGATTCAAAGTATCCTGAACATGAAAAAAATCAGTTCAATTCTAGGTCCAAGAGTAACATACCCAATCATTCAAGCCATAAAGTCGCCATCCAACTATCTTCCAGGTAATCACAGAGATAAGGTCAGTTCTATATGCCTAGAAATGGAAAAAATACAATTTTATATCACTTTATCAGTCAAACTATAACAGTGGAGGTGACGCAATCGTAAATGACCAATATTAACTGTACAGATAAATAATATCACCAATAAATTTGCTTACATCAACAATCGAAACAAACAAATACAGATAAATAAAGCAAATGAAATAATTAATAACGCAATAGCATACAGTACGGGAAAACTACGAATTCTACTTCCATATATTCGTAAAGCCGTACTGATTTGAATATTTTTGACCATTCAATGTTCTTACGTAAATGTTAATTATCTGAAATTATTACTCATCGCTTTGAATTCCAAACACTGGAAAAAAGGATTGGTTAAACCTTTAACTTTTTTTTAAATTGTACTACAATCACACAACAAGTATGAACCTAAACCATAATCTTCCTAAAAAAAAATCAAAAAACATTTAAATCTAATGCGAGAACAGCCACAACAGAATTTGGAGAACCAAGAAAGTGAATACAGGCCAAAAAAAATCCCAGTGGAAAGAAAATAAAATAGAATTTTACAGGAAGAGAAAAATCTCTTACATGCAGGAGTAAGATTTCTATAATTTTTCTAAAAAATTATGCAACTGAGAATATTATAGCTTTTCTCACATTCAGTTGTACGTATCCTTAATGAATATAATTATATGCAAGGCTATCCGAAAAAAATACACGGTAAGTGCTGTATGTAAATATCCTGCATTCATAAGCATAAAAAAGCCTTTAATGAGTTCAAGATTTGACTTATTCACTTCTTTGCAGCGCGACGTTTGTATATTTTTGGCGCTTTATGAGTAAGAACATAGCGTTGGGGAACTGGAAGAGGTGGTGAATAACCCTGCGGGAAAGCTGAATCCTCGAAAGCTATCAAATAATCATCGACTGCTGTAACTGGTAATTGATCGATTACTCCCTGAATAGGAAATATACATGAGAAATAGTACGAAGATTTTCATTTCTTCGGTTTTTTATATCATATAGAAGGCTGCCATTTAAACAAAGCTCATAACAGAAACCAAAATCCTGAACATTAGTTATTACTGTATCCTTTGTCTTGCGCATAATACACTAATATCTAACATAATTTATCTTTTTCTTTTCAATGAAACTCAAATAGTCCTAATACTTTAGTTATAACCTTGTAAAAGCATGTTGTTTGAGGATAAAGTGCAAGCACGATAGCACCCACAGGAAACAACGCATGGCTGTCACGCATAGGATCTGCTCGCCACCGTGGTAATGGAATCATACGACTTCTTCGAGCAACATATTTGGCTTTTTGTTCATCATCAACATCTTTAACCTCATATTTCGAGGCTGCAAAAACACTGGTCACCTCAGCAAGCATCCATATACCGTCGATGAATGCGGCCACTTCCATACCAACCTAAAAGTTTGTGTTCCAGTAAACAGTCTGATTTAAGTAATTTTCAAAAAACAGTTGGATTTATTGAAAAAAAGGATTGTGTTTTGATTAACAAAACCAAACCTTCAAAGACATCGATACAGGTGCTGGAATGGCACCAACTAATGCAGGTGGATGAGTATCTGGGGGTCCAATCCAGAGCGGAGCAGTGCGTGCACTGTGAGATAACATTTGCATCAGTTCGCCACGACCTACCAAACTACTGCGTTGTATTTCGTATCTCTTTTTACGTAACTTTTCGATATCCTCCAAAAGTTTCCGAATGCAAGTAGCTTCAATCTCGCAGGCTTTTTTAGCTTAAAAAAATATCCTGTAAATCATCAACATTTCAATCAATAAATAAACCAAAACAGTAGCCAGTTATCCAAAAGGAGTGAAATCCCCGAAAAAAAAGTATTTAAACAAACATATACGCGGAAAAAATGAATTAACGATACGCTATTCACGTCTCTAACCTAGGCTGGGAAAACCCATACCATAACTTTTGCTGAATCCCATAGGAAATATAATTCTAAAGTTCAACATCAAGTTTTTTTGTAACCATCGTTCAGTGAATATGATGGAGGGATTCCAAAAAAAAACAATAAAAAGAAAGAAAAATTATTTACCAGCGCCTTTTTGATTGAAATCTGCAAAAAAAAATCTTAAAAAACAGAAAAGAAATAGAATACAAGAAATCCAAATACCGTTTTCGTACAAATTTAATACTCGACCTCGGAGAGGACCATTCAGTTTGCATCCAATGCTAAGCTTATTTTTATCAACCAATTCTTGTAAGGTGGACAACGACTCATTTACTTTCTTCTTCAGCGGAATTACTGACTTCATCTGCAAGACATCATAAAGTCAAAATAATGGGTGCTCCCCTCTAGAATTATGGCCGATTGAGAAATAGACTACGTTCTCATACGGAAAACGCAATAAATTCAAATTCTTTTCATTTAAAAATCTACATTTAAAAATTTTTGTAATTTATTCTCATTAGACTTTAATAGGATCACCAAAACTACCCGATCATCTGGTGCAAGTTGTCACTCTCGGTGATGGAAATAAGCTAAATATGGGTTTTTTGGAAGGATATCAAACGCTCTCTTCATTTAAGCCACTACGGATGTTGCTAAATTGATCTCTTGAATAAAAATAAGAACATTTCGTAGCGTTTTCTTCGCTTGCTTTAAAAATTTCATAAATATTTGACCTAATGTCATTCATTTACTGTCATCACTTTCAAGCGAATGTTTAGGTTGAATCTCAAGAAAGATAATCATTTTGAACAGGGAATTCTTGAGATACCTTTTTATGGATATCCTGCAATGCGATCTGCAACTTTTGTTCATCTTTATCTAGTTCACTGTTGCGACGTCGTTTATTTCGACGCATCCTTTTGCTTAATTGCTTGTCTTTTCAGGTCCTTAAAACTTGATTAAGACTCCTAATATTGAAATAACTAAAGTGAGTGATATAAACTGTTGACCGATGCGGGTTTCTTGAAATATTTTAGCATACAATTGTTTGCTTGCTTAATATTTGCTTAATATTGTGGGAAATGCTTGATATATATTTGCTTAATATCGCGGAAAACGCAGAGAAGAAATCGACATGATTCTCAAAAAAAGTAAAAATACTAAACCTTTCCAGAATAACGAGTTATAGCGTCAACGAGACTTCGATGTGAAACACCTTTCTGCAGCAATTCCACGCAAATCGACAACTGAGATGATGTCAGAGGAACATGAAGTAAAAGGGCTAAACTTTCGATCACTGAAAACTGGCAATCAATTTGTCTTATGGAAAGGATATTCTCAAACTTCATTTTCTTGGAACAAGTTCCATTAAAATAAGCAGGAAACATGAAAACAAACAACATGAGTCATCTGTGTACTAATCAAACTTTATGAGGATATATAAATGAATGACTTACATTCAGCAGTTTCCTCCGACAAATGAATATTCTCTTTCAAGCCAGACTGCTGGAAACTCATGAAAACCAACCCTTGAAAAGATTCTGTAGTTCGTAAATAAAAACGTAGAATATTTTTTGAAATCGAAAATATCTTCTAAAGTTTTTTCAGTTTAATATCATTCCAAATGGCCGAACACAAAGTCTTCCCCTCTGAGGTCACAATTCCTCGCAAGTCAAATGAATAAGCTCCACAGCTTTGTAACTGATGAACTCATCTTTTCTATTGCTTACAGTAGAGCCTAAACAATCCATATTTTATCATCCAGTCGGATTATTTCCAAATTCGTAAATAATTATTCTTTCCTCACTCAATTTATTTTAATATTTTAATAACCGTAGTAGAGGCAGAGATTGATATCATCTGACTGAAGAGATATTATGCATGATGGGATGAACCAATATCGCCTTGAGAACTAACTCAAACAAAAATTAAAAATTTATTCAAATTAATGCGAATGACTAGGCAAACACAATTCCTAACCGCTTAATAGTGACTGTAGTGCAGAGGCAAATAAACAAAGCACGGAATGACTCTCAGAGAACTGTGACAAATTCTTGACTTCTTATATAGTAAATTGCTTGATAAAATTTATGTTCCTTAAACTTCCCCTTCCTTTTTCGACATTTACCCTGCTATATTCAACATGATATTATTTTAGAAAACTATCCATAAAAAACATCAAAACGTAAGCTTTTCAAAATTTTTAATTTCGTGTGAAAATTCCGAATCTATAAGTCAGGTAATCCAGTGTGATAAAGCATCTTTCGGACACGGTGATGACAGGTTTCGATCGCTCCAAGATAAAAGCTCCCACATTTTAATTCAAGGTTCCCAGAGATCGAGGTATGTCAGATGTGCGGATGAACACTTAAGAATTTGAGCTAGGTTAATGGGAGGGTTGAATGGAATTATTTTAATGACAAAATTTTGGGAAATTTTTATCCCGAAAGAACAACAAACCAAGGCAATTTATAATAGATAATTTTTAACTGTACAATTAATATTAACAAATCTAATCAGTATTGGGATTTTAAAGAACGATTTGACAACTGACATAGGTGCATCTCATTGAGAAAGTCCATTTACAGTCGGAAAAAGCTAAACAAAATAATCTCAAGTCTATCATCACTCCCTCGTTCCTGCATGAAAATGATGTATTTACAGACAAACTGTTTGGTGGTCGATATTGTAAAATAAAACTGCAGCTTGTTGAACAACAGCTATTAGCAACCTCCCATCAACAATCTTTGAACTTAACCAATGCAAATCAGAAACGGATGGAAATGGAAAATGAATGTTTACAACCAATAAACGGTATATTGGTTTCGGCGAAAGATTGCGACAAAAAGTACCATTCCCTGCATATATATCATAATCAATAGGCAAGTGAGCTGAATTTGAGACATCCTTTATAGGATTCAGTTTCAATATCTTTGCTCGCTCTTTACGATAATCCGACCAGGTGGAGACGTGATTAGAGAACTGGTCAAATCTTGGCCAGTAACGAGGCCTTAGGATTTCTTTGAAATTTCCTTGGACTTCACCATGCTTATCCCAATTAACTGATTCAATGTCTGACGTAGGAAAATCTTCGGATACACCAAATACTTCCACTAATTTTGGATTACGGCGAAAATTGGTCATTGTAAGCTTCATTGACTTGACAGTGGGAAACTGATCCAGGAGATTAACAGGAAAGAGAAATTTTGGCGCAAGTTCCCATCGATCACCATTTCCGTCGTCTGCAGAAGTTCCGAAAGCCTTGTAAGGTACTATGACATAGCCAGCACGCTTCAAGTATGAGTAAACGAAAAATTTTTCTGGTGTAATTAGAAATGTTCCAAGTAATCGATAGCATTCTTGCACAGACAATTGCATTCCACGATGAAGAACAACAGCCAAACCAGTTTCGACCATCCAAACCACTTCTTCTACAAAAAAGTAATGACCATCGCGCCGTCTGATGCCCATCTTCATTTCACAAGCATTTCGTAACTGAAGTGCTTTGAAAATCTTATCTTCAGCGTTATACTCGATCAACGTTAGCTTCTGGCTGCTTCGTGCACTGTCCGACACGTATTTGAAATGGGACTTCATTGTATCAGGTCCTGTTTTACATTTCATCAGCATCCACTTAAATACGAAAATTTTGGCAAAAAAAATCTCGGAAATTTTCCATTATGTTCAAACTTTCTTTAATCTGCATGTTACATATGGTTATTCACCTAACCTTAACGTCATTTCACATGTGATCAAAAAAAAAGGATATGTTAATATCTTAGAATAAATAAGCTCAGTACGATACACTAAAAAATGAATAATGGGAATAATTAAAGAGTAACCCGACAGTCAAATCATCAATGAATTTGAGTTGCTAAATTTATTAAACAAGGTCATTAATACAGTGTCACTATGTGGTAAACAACAAATCATTCGTTTACAGTATGATAATACTGGATATTACACATATATTCCAAATTTTCAGAAATTTAATGTAATATTTCCATTGCCAGTAGCACAAATATGACCAAATATAAATTGTCCTAGGAACGATATATGCCGTCCACCATCTATTTTAATCTACCCTTGATTTGACTATCGATGGGATATGTTCTAATATGTTTTAAATATTCAAATCAGAACCTTCTAATAAAAAAGGCTCACCGAAAATTCAAGTCTCCAACATAAATATCATTAGTTCTTCACAACAGCATACATTTAATTCAGTTCGACTTTACTCTATCCCAATCAACTCCTGGAATAACCATTAAAATAAGAGCAGGAACAGGAAAAAAATAGTGGTATATCGTAACTGACTGTTCTAAACCTTTTAAGGACAGAAACTGAAGTGAATTTTTTTCTCTACGTTCTACTTTTGCATGTATCATTCTCACTCACTGCTACAACTATAGCTCTTGTTCCTTGCACATTTTCTCAACCATATTCCTTGTTATTGTTCTCCATGTTCGTTATAGTAAAAACTCAGTGACAACTAAGTTTGACAATTACCAACATCTAAAGCCACAATTCCACAGACTCTAATGAAACAGCATTTCCATAATAGTGAAAATTTAGAGACTTTCACAACCAAGTACTTCAAAAACCACAATAAAATAAAATCATCTACTACCAATTAACCATCCCGATTACCAACCTACGTACCCTCGCAATCCGATTAACCCAGAGCCACTCCATGACTTCCCAAAGTACCACCTCTTCGCCCACCGTTTGAACCTTGACCTTCGTGAACCTTTCAGATTTTTGCATCATGAAATGGTCTGAAAATGGATCACTTAGAAGGAATGCTATGAAAAAAACAAAGTCAGAATCACTGACGAGCATACTTCCGTGAGATTCTTTTGTGCATTCAAAGACAACGTACTTGTTATTCTAGACGTGTAACACGTCTAACTATGGTTTACATCAAGTGTGATACTATCAAAATAACAATGAAGACATTGCTTTTTTGTGTTTTATGCAAAATACCTAAGAAGTCTTGTTTAAAAGAAACATTCATTTATAAATGAAGTAATCATTGGGAAGTTTACTTTTATCCGATGTTAACTAACTGATTGTATCACTGTTCACTACTACTAATTTCTCTCTCCTTTTTTCCCGAGACTGCACAAAAAGTGTAGTAACTCGTAACATGACGGATGAAGATGTCTATTACGTTGGAAATTTGATCCTTAATGGTACGGGTGATGGACAATCGCCACAAATTCTAACTTTAGTACCAATGGTAATAATATAACGAAATTTGCAGCCGGTAATAGTATGAATTAAAATTAAGGAAAGTTTCTAAAATTGATTCTTATCGATCCAATCCTTTTCTTCTGGGCCACTCTGGTTGTCTGTTCCAATGTATTACTTTTATTTCCAACTTTCCCATATATTATGTCCATTTCTCTCTTTTCTCTCTTTCTCTCTCTCTCTCTCGCATATAAGACAAATCGTTTGCATCGATTTGTTGTTTGTTTCAATTCCAAATTCTACCTTTTTAAATTTTAATTCGAGGGCCTTTTTTTAGCCTCGAAGAGTAATGGCACCTAATTATGCACGTATGCAAATTAGACGAGTTGAAATTGTGCGGAATTTCGTTGCTCAGCAAATTGAAGCGATCCCAGAAAATACAATTACTAGAAGATTAATACAATTAGAGAGGAATGAAAATGATCATTCTCAGCATGGATCTGAACAACAACGTCGTAGTCGAAGTGAGCAACGGTTACATGGAAGTGAAGAAGGTTTGAGAAGAAGAATAAATGGTGCTATCAGGAGAAGTTCCATTGCAGCTTCTAGAATGGGATTCAGAAGGAGATCTATGCTTAGAGTTAGAGTTAGATCACTCTCACCAAGTTCATCCATTCTACAAACTGCAGCTGCATCACAACACCATATCATGAACGAAGATGATGATGAAGATTTGAGGTACTGTCTATATGAATTTGAATTCATATTTCGAACTTGAACATATCAAAGTAATTATTAAAAGTGAAAAATTAACTGAAATCATACTATTACAATACCATTTTATGGTGTTAAACAGCAAAATTCGGAATGAAATATTTTTTCAGAGAATGAAAATGATATACTTTTAATAGCAAAACATCAGCAATCATTGATGCAATAAAAGTTAATGAAGAATTTGGACATTTTGTCGATGAATGCATTGTTTTACAGCCGAATTTGAACTTCGTCATTTAAAAATTTATTTCTATTCTATTTTCAAACTATGAACAAATGAGCAAGGCAATCAATTAAAGTAATAAAGTAAATGACATGATTACGACAAAAATAAATTTAATTTTGAAAAATCGAGTTTAAAAATGAATAAGTAAGTCATTTGACACAAATGTATATCATCCAATCAGGCTAGTTATTGATGGGACGAAACGAAATGAAAATTTTGGTTGTTGTCACCACCATGGACTTTCTTGCTTTCCATGAAAGTCATTTTTCCGAACATATTGTCCGATCAGTATTTAATCTAAATATTTGCATATTCTTATACATTCTCAATTTGCATAAGCAATTTTTTTTGCTCTTAATTATGCGCAAAAAGAATATTCACAATTATATAAGAACCGTAAAAGATAAGGTGGTCATTTGGTTCAGCTGTAATTTACTGGGAGCAGTTCGTTGCTCTGGTAACTGTGATTCGATGGCGAAGGAAATATCGGTTGCAATACCCATGGAGGAAGGCGATCCACTCGGAGCAGTTCCCAATGATAAACTTATCATTGTTAAGGTTCAACCGGGAACACTCGCAGAAGGAAATCTTAAGGTTCTTTTAAAAGCTTAGTTGTAAACAACTCTTTTCCTGCGGAATCTCTTACAGATGTATTAATATTTGGTCTGACACATGTGGTATACTTATGCCATTTCAGATTGGTGACCAAGTATTGAAACTGAACAATACCGTTGTTCGAGATTGCGATCATTTCTTTCAGCTACTTCGTTTTGCGCCTCCATGTGCTACCATAACTTTGGTGAGAGATGAAAAGAAGGCAGCTGAACTTGAAGCCAAAGTTCACATACCTCCCGATCGGGCCAAATTAATCACGCGTCGTGATGGATACATGTATTTTGTATGTTATGCTTATTAATAAATTTTTCTCATATGGAAACTATAAAAGCCTATCAAATTAACTTTTTCTGGAGATAACTGAAAGAAGTAAAGAATAAAGGATATCAAAATAGATCAAAATATATCGTATAAGAATTCAGAAACTCAAAGATACGTTGACTGTATTGAAGGTAGCTCGGATTGAGTGGAAACCTGGAGGTCCAAGACTTGGTCTCGGCATCAAACACTATCAAAATCGTGTGCTGGTTTCTCGATGTGATCCAGGTTCATTGTCATCGCAACAGCTTCAGGTTGGGGATCATTTGATTGATATCGATGGTCATCCGGTTACTGATAAAGATGTATGTCGTGAACTTCTCCTGAAGTGTCTCCAGGCAAACCGTTCCGTAACAACCATTGTAGAACGTCCGGAAACACTGGAAGCTAGATACTGGGTGCAAAATGCACTTGCAGCTTCAACCGCTCAAGCTCCATCAGTTGCAATGAATAGCGATGTACGCGCTATTGCAGCTCGAGAACGGCAGAAATTGCAAAAAGCCATTGCGGTAAGTATATCATTAAAATGTTAATTTTTTTTCCATCTTTCTATATTCCACATGTCAATATGGTGTTGGGGTTTGTTGTAAAAAAAAAAAATGATGAATTTTATTTGAAAAAACAAACGCTAGAATATTTGTAATTTTTTCTAGATTTTCGATATATATATATGTTGAAGATATGGAAAGAAATTTATTTCAGCCAAAGAAAAGTTGTTTACGGAAAAGCAGTTCAACCGGAAAACGCGTGATAATCGTCGAGGGTAAAGCAACGGAATTCATAATTGCCAGTGATAATGAAGGCAAAAGTCTTCGTCATGTTCGCAAATAATTTCATAATCAAAATGATTCAGATGCCGATTCAGATGTCGCTGTGATGTAATTTCTACTACAGATAAATTCTATTCATATGCCGATTGGGCTTAATAATTCTGTAATTTTTCGTTTTTTTTTCGAACAAAGAAAAAGAAAAGAGAAATGATTCCATTCTTATAATCAGCTGGGTAAGAAACCAGAAAATGCCGAATTCAGCTGATGATTGTTCGGGGTGTCTTTTTTTAAGATCCTTAATTACATGTCATATCAATTGTTGCGGATGAATAGATGCAAAATGAGGAAGCTTAACACTTTCAATTTTGCTGCATTCAATGAAAAGATTGCTAACATTGTTGCTGGCAATTTAATGCTGTTATTACAAAATATAAAATCAGAGGAAATTGGAACTGGACATCTTTCTATTAACGAACTTCCGTTAGAAGTCATTTGGAGCAAAGATCAATAGGGATTTGACTTTCCTGAACCAACAGTTAATGAATGATTTGTAACATATATAGCCTGTAGGCATATACAGTGGGAATGGTAAACGTGAGGAACTTCACGTTTTCAAGTTCTATCTTGGTGATTGCTTAGCGCACGTAAAAGACCTTACAAATGGTTCAGTAAAAGATATATCAAAGCTAATTCAATATAATATTTGACGGTATTTAAAGCGTAGCCATTTATTAGCATGAACGAGATCGATGCAATGTGGAATAGTTGGATGGAATCATTTTATACCTTTCATGAAAACCATCTATCTTTTCATTAAGATGAAAGAGCAAAATGCCTTTGCAGAAAATGATGGTCCAGAAAGCTTATATTTATAGTATTGCCCTGATGCAAATGCGAATGTGGAATTTTGTTCGAGCAGTGCGTTGTTTTTCCATGAACAGATAGGACGTATAATAG